TTTGAAGTTATCGAAATATTCTGTTATTTTTTCCTTCAGTAATGGTAAGTCTTCTTTGAAGGTAAGTATTGTGCAACCTTTGATGTCATAGTGTGTTTGAGGAAGAGTATTTTTGACAATTTCTTTTATTTGCTCATTCGGTGTCATTGAAATCGGTAAGTTTTCACGATAGAACCAGTTTCTGTCAGATTTATATATTTTAGCAAGGTCGTAAAAGCTTTTGTTGTTTCTTCTGACTAAATGCAACATAACCATATCTCTGTCTTCTTCATTCTCCAACTCTTCAGTATAAATCATATACTTATAGTTCTTTTCCTTTCCTTTTGGTACTGAACGCGGTATTCTTTTCTGTATGCTTTTGTCTTTGGATTCAATGACTTCATCTTTTGCTTGAAGTTTCTTTTCCATCTCTCCACGTTCTTGTCTGTGAAGTTCGTCAAGAAGTTTGTAAATATTCCAAGCATAACGTGGTGAAGCCCACATTGCAACTGCATTTACTAAAAGTCTATGAACATAATATCCTCTCAAACCGTTTGGCAATTTTTCACGGTTTTCATAGAGTTTTGGCGACTGGGATTTTTTACCTACTCGCTGTTCTTCACTGTTTTCAGAAAAAAGTACGTCTCGCTGTGCTTCACTTAATAGTTCTATGGTGCTTTGGTTCCTAAACCAGTCTTTAGGAAGCTTAGTATCTGGAGCAAAACAAGCCGTCAAAATACTTTGCATTTGGTACATGTCGTCTTTGACAGAACGAATGAGTCTCAATTGTTTGTTATACTGTATGTATTCGTATTCTTCATTTATGACTTCATGAACGATAGCAGTTGTTGTGTTCTCTAATGTTGACATATCTGTCTTTACATACAGGATAAAAAAATAAATAAAATAAAAACTAACTTTATTTTTTTTGAGATAAACACTATTTCTTCACAACATTAAATTTTATCCTGTATGAAATGACTTTAAAAAGATTATTGACTGACTTCGAATACTATCTCATTGACGCACTGACAGACCCTCAAAACTGTGTTGAAAGTTCTTTAAGCTTTAAGATTGAAGGTACGACGCATTTTGTCTTCACTTACGTATTGAAAGAATATGACCGTTATCATAACGAAGTGAATCAAACACTAATAAAATTTGTAGATAAAAAATTGGTTAACAATGAATATTTTAAACGTGAAGACCCAAACACTGCTGGAGATGATGAAGAATACAGACAAGTTATTGAAAAAAATAACGCAAGATTAGATGCAATAGAAAAGAAGTTTAATGAATGTCTTACAAACACGTATGAATATCTTATGCAGTGGGAAGCCAGATGGAAATAAATTTACGTCAAATATGCAATTTATAAAATCTTATGTCGACAGGCTACGTAGCACAGTGGTCTAAGGTGGTGTTATGGAGGGGTCAGGGTCTGTGGTTCGAACCGCGACAGCGCCGTATTTTCTTATTTTCTTTATTTGTCTTGTTTGTCGTGAATAAAAAGTGTCATAAAAGTGCTCTATCTTCCACGGGAATAAATAAAAAATTTACTTTATTTCTTCTTTATTTCTTTGTTCCCGTGGAAGAAGGGTTTTTGCCGTTTTTTCTCAGCCGAAATCAACGATTTTTTCATTTTTGGAATCCTTAGCAAATGAGGAATCTTTTCTCTCGTGGAAGCTTTGACCAAAAATATAATTTAGGTGAAGAGGTGAGATTTCACCTCTTTTTTCACCTAATTTTTCACCCTCATGACTAACGTCAAACCCAAATGCTTTGTCATAACTTCTTCGTAAATGCTTTGTCATAACTTCTTCGTAAATGCTTTGTCATAACTTCTTCGTAAATGCCTTGTCAAGATTTCATCGTAAATGCTTTGTCATGACTTCTTCGTAAATGAGTGTAAATGACCAAAAATATAATTTAGGTGAAGAGGTGAGATTTCACCTCTTTTTTCACCTAATTTTTCACCTCTTTTTTTCACAAGCGTTTTACATGAATTGTACGATGTATATTTGAAATCCTAAACAGTTTTGTAGCTTCTATTTCTTCGCTGAGGATATCAAAAGTTTTAACAATGCCGAAAGTCTCTTTATATTTCTTCTTGACGTCAGATAGAAGGAAATCTTCTACTGTTGGATAGTTTTTGTTCAGAAATGCTAACATGTCCATTTTATCTTCTGCTGGCTTTTCTGCTTCTTTCTTTAAGTCTGCATAGTCGTTTCGCATTCTTTCTATCTCTTTGACGGAGTAGTTATATTTCCTTATTGCTGCTTTACATTTTGAACATTGTGGGTTCATTTTTGCATTATACATTGAAATTTGACCTGCTAGAACAACTAAAGCGTCAATTGCTCTCTTCATCTCAAACATAGCGGGTCTTAGTTGTTCGTTCCATACTTTGCCTCTTCTATCTTTATCTCTTATTTCCCAAACACATTCAGCAACTAACGAAACAAAGTTGTCGTAGGTCTTAAATTCTTCAGATTTATATATGTCAGAAACATTTTATATACCATATCGCAATCTTTGTCCATAACTTTATGGTTGCAATGAAAACCAAGGAATTCATAATTTACTTTACGTATGAACTTCTTTATTTCTACTGAGTCAGTTGCTTTGACTTCAATTTCGTCGAATTCAGGAATAGTTAGTTTTTGATGCTGAATTTCAGGTAGTTTAGGTAAATGGTCGATAGGTCCTCCATTTCATAAAGATACTGTTCATTTGTTTCATCTTTCGCACTACAGTCTAAATTACTTGTTAAAAGTTCTTAATTTTTTTATTTCTTTTCGAAAGTAAATGAAGAAGGAATGAAGCTTTCCATCTCTACTAACATAGATGTTGGATTCATGACTAACGAGTTTGGTGAAGTTGTTGTGGACAGAGTCCCGCCGTTCGCGGCTTGAATTGTTGTTGTGCCGATTGTTGAAATCATATCTTTTATACAAAATAAAAAATAAATAAAAATAAAACTAACTTTATTTTTTCTATCTTAAGGAAATTCACGAAAATTCAAGAGGTGAAAAAACAGGTGAGAAAACAGGTGAAATCTCACCTCTTCACCTATAATATATTTTTGTCTGATTTACATCCAACGAAAAAGTTTAGAAGAATTTTCTTATTCTTTCTGGCATGTTTTTATCTTTCCAGTACTCCCGCTCTAATGGTCCCAGATGAGTTGGTTTAGATTCTCTCAAGTTCTTAGATGGTATAACATCTTCAACGCCTCCTTCATATCTTACTTTATAAGTGTCATCGTTTATGTTGTAGTCAAGTATTTCAATAACCACTCCTCGCTTTGCTTCGTCAATGGTTTCAGCAAGTTTGCCATTACTACTTTCGACTAATTTATGACGAGGTAAAATGCTATGGAGTCGTCAGCAGCTTTTATAAGATATCCATTACCTTGCGTAGAGTCTACGATATAATAATTTCGACTTAACCTTAAACGTTTCTTTGTCAACGGTTTGTCGTCAAGAACTACACGAACTTTTGTTCCAGGAATGAGAGTAAATTGTGTTGAATTTCTGATATTTTGTGTTTGACTTCGTTTCTTTTGTATATACTTTTCTTCTTGTTGTTGTGTCATTGAATTTGGTGTATGTCCTGTTGTAGAATGTGTTGAGGAATTGTAAACTTCGATGAAATGTTTCATTGTTTCTTCGGTAAAGTCTCGCTCTTGATTTAAATCTCTGAGAGTCCTTATGAAGCGGTTAATGATACCGAGTATGTTATGGTTATGGTCTTCAGTAGTGTAGTGAGTTATGTTATGCTTAATGAGAAATTCTGTGATTTCGTTGCTGAGGTATGCACCGTCTTGGTCTGATGTTAAAATACTTGGGCTATGTTCTGCTACAAACTTTTGTAAAACTCTTAACACTTCATGAGTTCCTTTATTTCTCATTATATACGCAAAAGCTTTGCGAGTGTTAACATTAATGAAGATGAGGAATGGTTTATGTCCTCCTTTTCTGCTTTGAATGAGAGTGTCAAATTGGTATGCGTCAGGAGTGTTGGAGTAAATTGGTAAAAAGTAGTCGTAAGGATTTATTTTTGTTTGATGTACAACATTTTTGTCAAAGAACCTTTTCACTTCAGCTCTGTTAGTAAATCCCGAACTCTTTGCAGCTTCATTGAATTTCTTAAAAGACCTCCATGGATGTTGTTCGAATACTTCTTTCAAGCTCATTTATGTAAAGTTAAAGATTTTAACCAACTCGTATCCAAGCGTGCATTGTTATATAAGGAGGCATATAATCTTTTCCATTACCTGCTGGGTCTGTAATACCAGCTACAACATGTGTATGATTTCCTGCAGTTCCACAGAAAATACCTGTGCTAACATCTTTGGGGTCATCTGAGATATCATATCTATTCATTCCCTGTCTATTCGAACCCGCTGCAAGATTTATATAACCTCTTTTTGTTATTGAATGTGAATGGTTTCCTTCCACAGATGTTCTTCCACTGAACCTATGCATATGTGAAGGAAGGTTTTCAATACCTATTTTCTTTGAACCTCCCATCTTCATTGACTGCGTATTAGTGTAGAATGGAAAACTGTCAACTATTTCATACCATCTACCACCAAATAAAGTGTTTGGATTTATTGGATTCATAGACGTATAAACAGCTCCTATAGGATATATTAAATCATATATGCTCATAACTCTATAAACATATTCTAAAGAACTTATGTCATTAAATACCATTTGGAATGTATCTCCCGGATGAAATGTTGCATTTGTTCCACTTTTATAATGTAATGTTAGTTCAATAGAATTATCCAAGAAAAATTCAAAAGTATCTGGTTGAAGACCTCTAACAAATTCAAATGGAGTTGCTGGTTCACCATTTATAATTTCTGTTGTAAATGTCATTGTATCTGGTTTCGAAAATTTCTTTGTTAGTTCTGTATCCACATAAGTTTTGTCGGCTTTACTGTCTAACATTGCTGGTAGTTCATATGCTTCAAAGTTTCTGGCATGACTTCAATTTCCTGCAACTCTTATCTAAATTGTTAAGAGTATCTTTTACGCTTGTACTCGGATTCTCTAAAGGTGCACTTGAACCCAAATCATAGTTCAATATTATGTCGTCTGCTCTAACAGTAGTGAAGGATTTATGTGTATGATTTTTGTCGGCTTTACTGTCTAAAGAAGTTTGAAGTTCATTTATATCGGAGATATTGTGTTTATGAGATTTCAAAACTTTGTTCGTTGCGTCAAGTTCTGTTTTGTCAGCTTTACTTTTAATAGCATCTTCAAAAGTTATTTTTGACTTAACTCTCAAAGTAAATCTTGGTTCAACTAATACACCGTTAACAAAGAAGTATGAAGCATAAATTTCAGCGTTATAACCAAATGATTGTGGTGCTATACCTGTGTCATACTGTACAGTACAGTGTATGTCATAACCTTTAGCACGAATGAATTTATATCTTCTTTCATTAACATTTTTCGTATTCACTTTTTCACCCTGTGTTAAATATCCATGATAGTCCGTTATAATCTGTTCATCAGAACTTATATAATGAACATGGTTTTTGTCTGCTTTATTGTCTAAAGAAGTTTGAAGTTCATTTATATCGGAGATATTGTGTTTATGAGATTTCAAAACTTTGTTCGTTGCGTCAAGTTCATTTTTGTCCGCTTTACTATTTAATGTAGCTTGAAGTTCATTTATATCGGAGATATTGTGTTTATGTTCTTTATCTGCTTTTTCGGCTAATTTCTCTTCTATCTCATTTATTTCAAGTTCATGCCTACCACCACCTCCCGAAGAAGTATTTTTCTTCAGCTCTTGAAGAACGTCCACTTCGCCATCTTTGGTGTCAATAATGAGACTTTGAGTTAAAACCTTTCCTGTCTTAATGGATGTTTGTAAAACTTCTTCTTCACCGTGTTCGGGGTCATGGTCGTCGTCATATCTTGTGAAATCAGAGATGTTGTCATACATTAAGCATATCTGTCTCAAAAGTTCTGCTATTTGAATTGGAACGAAAGATATACAGAACTTTCATCATCTCCTAAAGTCAAGTCTGCTTTCTTAAGTATTTCTTGAATGTATGCAATGAGAACAGAGTACCTTGGAAAATATTCGAACAATATTTCATTAGCTGTTGGTTTTGGTGGTTCTTCTGGAGTTTCTGTTGTTTCAGTTCCTTCTGGAGTTTCTGTTGGAGTTTCTGCATCTCTTGACTTCAATGCTCTTGCTCTCAAAGACCTAAATGTTAGAGCACCGGGTTTTACAAAGGACTTTATAAATGCTTTAATAGTTCCTGGTAAGTTATTGTTAGCATTAAGTAAGTTCCTTATGCTTCCATCATGTACGTCCATAGCACTATGTAAAAAATCTATACTTTTCTTGTAGTCAGCAATAGACTGACTGTGATTTTTTAAAGATTTGTCAATACCTTTAAGCCAATCTTCATGCATGTCTGATACTGAGCCAAGAATATCATTTGCTTCCTTTAGTGTATTTTGTGCTTTTCGTAAAGTATCCAATCCCGTACGTGCATTGTTTGCTATACGTCTTACAGTATCTATTTGACTCCTTGTTTCTTGCATCCAACCAGATAAAGTTTTAATAGTATCCGAACCATTTGAAATGAAGTTCAAAGCATTTTTAACATCATCTAAAGCTTCTTCACCAAGTACTGCCCATATCTTTCCGATTTGGTATTGAAGAACTCCATATGAAGCAGCTGTTAAACCAGTATTTATAAGGTCCCATATCCATGATTTAGCAGTTTTTCCATCCTTTCCATCCTTTCCATCCAAACCGTTTTCGCCTTGAGGTCCTTGTATTCCTTGAGGTCCTTGTATTCCTTGAGGTCCTTGTATTCCTTGTGGTCCGGTGTCACCCTTCTCTCCTTTCAGTTCATCTTTATGTTCGTTATAATATTCTAATGTCATAAGGTGTACATCATTACTGCTACCAGCAACTCCTAATATTTGTTTCTCATTCATGACTAAATTCTTTAGGCATTTAATGTTGTCGTCAAATCGAAAGCTCTTTAACAATTCAATGAGAACATTCAGTACTTTCACTAATGAGGCATCTACTGTAGAATTTATATATTGCACCGTTCCATCATTTATGATAGGAACTTTACTTATTGTAATGAATGGGTCATAAGTGTTAAAAGTATCGAAATCAATGACTTTTTTAGTTTTTCCATCGTCAATGACTAAATCATTGCCTTCAATGGTTAAAGTTGAGTTTTCGTTTACTAGTTCATGTGCTCTTCTTGCTTCATTTGTTTCATACGCATATGCAGCAATAGTCATATTTTAATGAGAATAAAATGTTGTTCTATTTGCAAAGTACTGACCCAAACGAATACGGAACAGTAAAGCTACAAACAAACTTAGGTCTTCAGAATGAAGCGCTTGCTTTCAGAGTTGTTGACTTCAATACTATCGCAACTTTTGTCATAACAGATGAAACAGATTTCATGGAGTTTGAAATAGATGGAAAGAAGCATGAAATAAGATTTCACAATAATGTAGAATATAAGATGGAAACATTAGCTGGAGTGTTAAATGCGCTCATAAATACTACAATAAACAAGGAGAACGAAGAAAACTTAATGAATGTTAAACTTATTGCAGGAGTTTTGAAGTTCAGTTATGCGAAGGAGTTTAAGATAACACGAATGAGTCATAGAGTTCAATTGCTTCTGGGAGCATACCATATGACATTTCCTTTGAAAAGTTTGACAAAACGATTGAGATGAAATCTGTTCCATACGTATGTTATGGCAATTGTTTATACATTGAGTCAAAAATAGCTAATGTCACAGGTATTTCAGGAGTTAATAGTAAAGGTTCAGTAGAATATAAGTCTTTCTGTTATGAAGTAAATTCAATGTTCATTCCAAACGTTCCTGTCATAGCAACTCATTTAGGTAAATGGGTTCGCATTAGTCCTCATAATTTGAAAGACATGCAATTCAGACTAGTTGACTTTCAAGGAGAGCCTGTAGAACTGAAGGCACCAGTGCGAATGACTGTTGAAGTAGACTTTTTAGAAAATATTAAATGCAACAGCTTACAAGAGAACTCAGAGCTAAAAATATAAAGTATGAATGTTATGTATTAGGTCATGAACTTTGGTTGTTGCTGTTTGATGAAACAAATGAGTTAGTTATGTCAGTCAAGAGAACAGAAAAAGGCGTCAAAGGCGCCGAGCGCAAAGCGCTATATTGTGTTAGTGAGAACTGCACCAAGTCAATAAGATTAGGTTTGCATTATGAAGATGAGTTCGATACTGTTGAAGAAGTTTTGGATAGATATTACAAATTGCTAACTTGAAATTTTTTTGACTAACGGCGCAAAGCGCCAAGATGGGCTCAAAGAGCCCTCCTGACTGCTTTAATTTACTAAAACATATTTCAAACATAATTTATATTCTGTTGAAAGTTTTGTATACTCGTTCGAATATTTATACTTAAACTCAACTCCTGGAGTACCTGGTATTTCAATGATGCGGATGTTACCTATTTTCATGAATGGTGGCGTTTGACCACAGCATTCGATTTCAGGGTCGAGATAGTCAATGACACATTGTTTCCCTGTTATTCGTGATATAACATTTTCAAGGTCCTCCTTTGTTAGAATTATTTGGTTCTTGCTTATAAGATTTGTCAAAAGCTTCTTATCGTCTTTGAGTAAGATAGTTTGATATAACTGAAGAAGGTAATGGTCTACGTTATCTGAAGGATTTGTTTGAACATTTGTGTAAGGGTTGTCGTTGGCTTCTCTTGAAAGAATTTGGTCCAGTGGTGGATACTCTAACTTAACATCTGATGTAGCGTTAGCGTTTGAAGCTGAGTTTAAATTCACGGCGCCATGCGCCAAGACCGAGGTCCCGACTTAAGTTCTGGTTCTTTTTCTTTCAAACACTCCGAACTATAGTTCTTTATGACAATATTGTTTGTCGTTCGTGAGTCAACATTTGATGTTGGTTCAATTGGAACATTAACGGCACCAGCTAAGATGGATTTGCTTCTCATTTCATATAGAATAAAAACCTTTTATATGTATGAAATGAACAATATACTCGACAAGGGTTTGAATGTAAAGCTAACGAATGAAAATATTGTTGAATTCACTGAGACAGGTGCTGTGTATAAAGATGTAGAACTACTGAACAAAAGAGCTAAGGGAAGAAGCAGGAACATGAACAAAGGGTGGAAGCCTATAAAAATTTATGTCAATGATGGCTCAGGAGGTTCAAACATAAAGTATGCAGAAAGTTATAGAGTTTATGCGCTAAAAGGTGAAAAGCCTTCATTTAAGAACAGCTATTCTAACGCATATCCTCAAAAGTTAACGGATGGGGAAGTGGATGATATGAATGACAGCAAAAATATTAACAGAAATGGCGACAGAGATGCATGGAATTTGTTTACCATCAGTCAATTGAAGGTTAAACTTTAAAACAATGTTGGTCGTTCCCATGGAATATTTTTGACTTTAATGGTATTAGTCATGATATGAATCTCAAGGTATGAACGAGGAGAGATGAGAGACTTATATGCTTCCCAAATTTCTTCAAAAGGTAATGTTATACCTGACTGTTTCCAAATGAGTTCAATATCATAGCGTGAGAAACCTTGAAAGATAACGAAGTCAGTTATGAGACGTTTTATGTTTAAAGCTAAAAACCTCCATGTTTGCATAAGTATTGCTACAGTTAAGTGGTAATGTCTGACTTTAGTAATGATGTTAGCTAATGGTGAGTCAGGCTTTGACACTAAACCTTTTCCGGCGAAGTCGTCGCAAACGAGCAGAGTGTTTGAAGGATACTTTTTGAAGGGGTATTTTGAAAGTTTTGACAGAATGTAGTTTGTAAGTCGTTTCATATCGTAAACTCCTGAGTATTGACGTAAGTGGTGTTTGTCAATAATTCTTTCCATCTCTTCTGAAGTCTTTTGCATTCCTGACTGTATAAATTCAACGATGGCATAATATTTCCTCTTACGTCGAATGTAACGTTGAAGAAATTCAATGAGTTCGCTATCTGGAACTTTAACGACAGAGGCTTGAACTTTTGACATAAATGTTTTCGCTGTTGAGTCCATAGAGTCTGAAGTTGCTGATATAATGATTTGGTCATAATATGAATCTTGACCTAAACGCTCTGTTATGAGTATATGACGAATGAGGTTAAATGTCTTACCTGACCCCATCTTTCCACAATAGAAATAAACACCATTTGAACAGAACTCATAGTCCTTACTGAAAGGAAGAATGAAGAAGAGTTAAGTTTGTCTGTAGTTTCATTCATGTCTTCATCTACGTCATGTATTAAATGCTTCATTTTATCTCCATTAAAAATGCAAGTCAGAAATATTCAGAACATAGCACCGAGTCTAACTGACAAGAGTATAAAGATATACTATGAACACGTTATGATGAAACCAACCAAAATTCAAGAAAGTCAGTATACTTATGAATATCCAAGACACTGGGTAGAGTATGTAGGAGGTGAGAAAGCTATTGAAATAAGACAAGTTAGAAGTATTCCAGCAGGAAGGACAATATTATTGAAGAACTTTAATGTTTTGATATAATGATGAGACAAAGAAGCAAGATAGTTTTCCTATTGCTGTGTATGTGAACCTAGACACAGGAGATGACATGAAAGTTTTTAACACAAAGCTTCAAACGGTAGTGAGAGAACAACTGACTGCGGAAGGACACCCATTACCTTCAGAAGTTACCATAGCGTATAATTTTGAAACAAATGCAATAGATTTTAAAGTCGTCTCTGCAAAGAAGTCAGGTTTTACATTTAATGAAGCAGATGTATATTCGAATGAAAACTTCAAAGCTATTGCATGGTTAGATAATGACGATTGCTTTAAGAAAATATTTAAATTCAGTGACTCAACGATGTCAATAGATGACCTTCGTGGAATGTTACCATCGACGTTTACAGTAGAAGGTTCAGCAGGATTGCTTACAAGATTGTCAATTGGTGGTATTTGGTCTCGTGAGAACATTGTTATAAAATCCAGTATAAGTGAATTTGCTGAAGAATCTATATTATGTCTTTCAAACTATATGTATTCGCCGCCGAAGCATTATAGTATAACAAACTTTGTCAGTAAGTTTAATATAAGACTTGTTGAACCTTCTTCAATGAAAGATGTTGTGCTACCCAAAGACGGAAAGGATGGACTCATTATTGAGATGATTTTAATAGCATATTAAATGAGCTTGTTTTTAAAGGTCATTCATGATGAAATAACTGTTGTAGAAGATGTTAGCAATTGTTCAGACATTTTGAAGCGTATAGATGAGATAAGAAAGAAGTTTATGAATGAGAATGTTTATGTTTCATTGACTTTCTCCAGTAAAGAGAACTTTTATGAGATAATATTTGAAGAGAGATGATTTTAATATGGTGTAAATGGTAGCTTGGGCAGCTTTAGGCGCAATGGGAACAAAAGCATTAGCATTTTTGGAGCAAAAGCACTTGGGGCTTATGACGCAGTAAATAAAATGAGTGGAGGAAGAGTTTCGAAGACATTAGATGCAAATAAAGGAAAGATTGGAGGCTGGGTTGCAAAGAAGTTAAGATTAAATAAAATAGGGCTCATAAATAAAGCATCCAATTTGGTTGCGACTGAGTCAGAAAATGCTTTAGGAAAGGACGATGAGTTTGCAAAACATGCAAAAGACTTTAATGACCAGATGAAAGGTGAAACAATGCATTTAAATAGAGTCGATGGAACTAAAGAAAATGTTTCTTCTCCACCAGTAGTTCTTCCGTATGGTCCCTATGGAATGTATGGAAACCCTTACGAAAGACCATTTGACCCATTGACTGGTGGAAGTAACTGGTATCATTACGGACGAAGAAGAAAGACAGTTAAGCTGGAGACAGACGTGAAGAAAGCAACTAAAAAGAAACCAAGGAAGAGAGTTATAAAGCAATGAATTCAACATGGTTAGAAAAGAGGTTAGAAAACGTGTTAGATCTAACATTCTAACATAAACATTATTTTTGTGCTATGTTTTCATACGTGTGAGGTGGTGATATCATTTATTTTAAGTTTATTTTTATTTTACTGAAAATTTTTATTTTATTTTTAAGTTTATTTTTATATAAATGACGAAAACTATTGAGATAACAAACTACAACGGTCATGAGTTCAAGAATTTGTTCTTCGTTCCTCGTGAAAATACATTCTATCAGATACGAGGGAGAAAGGGTAAAGTTAGTTTGAGCGTTTATGAAGGAATGAAGAATGGAAAGTTTATACAAGCATACGATACAAACGGTAAACGTGTTTCATTAGCTTTGTCAAAACTTACTAACATTTATTTTGACAGTGACTTTGACTCTGACGATTGGAGCGACAGCAGCGATACTGAAGAATATGAACTATTGTGTGAAGCACAGCAATGGGAAGAGTTGCAATACTTTTGTAAGTGAGAACGTTTATTTTTACAGTAGTAAGGTGAAGTGGTTGGCGGCTTTATAAATATTTAAGGTTAAGTTGGTGTTTGTGTTTGTGTTGTAAAATATACGTTACTGGTTTTGTAAAGTGTCAAAACAGCTAAGTGGTGTATGGAGGCGCGCAGTGCCTCAGTACACGACTTACCCATACTAACTTTTGTTATGCCAATGTACTTCTCTTCATTTATGTTCACAATCCAGTCTGTTGGAAACTTAAACGTTACTCTGTTCCCCTTTATTTTGACGTCAGGGTTTTCACTACTGAACGCAACAGATAAAGGTATTTGTCTATACATTTAGTTCCGATAAAAATAACACATTTACTCTTTCTTTGCTTCAGCTTCTTTAGCTTTTTGTTCTTCCTTTGCTTTTGCTTCTTCTCTAGCTTTCTTCGCCAGCAAACGTGGGTTCTTCTGTCTTCCAGCAGCTAATGCAGCAAGTTGTTTTTCACTAAGTTTTCTCTTTGGTCTCTCTGGCTTTTGTTCTTGTTTTTGTTCCTTCAGTTCGGATAAAATTTGCTCACGAATTTCTTTCTTCAATGCTTCAACATCTATGACCCTTGGGTCTTGTCCGTAGGGCTTGTCTGAGTCATTTGACTGCAGATAAAAAACAAAATTAAAACTTTAACCGATGTAAAATGAGCTTGTCAAAATCAGAGCGAGAGTCTATTATATTAAATGACGCAAGAGGAATACAACATCCTTTCTATTACGTAAGTCAGAGTAAAGATGGTACAATATACGTAAGAAAAAGAAAGGTTCCATTAGCGAATGCAGAAAGCGACAACATTAAGGTGCATGGCACCGAGGGCGAAGCCCATGTTAAGCCTTCTATTCAAACTGAAAAGTCAATAGAACCAGAAGAAAAGAAGCCAGATGTACTTTCAATAACGAACCAAGAGCTTATTGCAAAGTTCGTGAATTTCATTGAAAAACAAACCGAGTCAAAGAATCCTGACCGCCAGTGAAAGAAGTTGAGACAAAAGAGAATGTACAGTTCATTGAAAATGTCAAGAAACAACTTCCACCACGAATGCCAAGAAGAAGAGTGAGAATAATGAAGTAAATAGATATTTTTATCCGAATCAAAGACATGCAGAACGAACAGTTAAACAAATTTACTCCAGCAGAGCATATTCATCAGATTCGCTCATATTTCGATATCATAGACAATGCAGTTCAAATTGGGGACACTAATAGAAAATATTCTGACGCAAAGATTCCATCACAACCTGGAACTGCTAAAGATAACACATGGGTAACATTCAATCTCTCACCTCCTGGTGAAAATATGTTGGACCTTTACAATACATTCATTACGTATAAAATGGAAGGTCAATTTATTGTAGATAAAGAAATTGGTTCAGGTTCCAATAAAATAAACCCACCAGGATTTTGGATTGGCTTCGATGACGCTTTCTATGCAGTTGCTGGATATCAAATCCTTGCAAATGGTCGTATCGTATATTCTCAAGACAACGCAAGAGAAGAAGCATATATAACTTCAAACTCACAAACTACCGAACAAATAAAGAAAGTAGATGTTTTCTCAAAGACTCGACATGAAGATGTATGGAGTCATTCGGGAACATGCAGAACAGGACAAATTGTTAGTGGTCCAATTACAGCAGGAAAATCATTTGATTTTAAGCTTCGTTTAAGAATTCCTGTTAGAAGATTCCTTCCATTAGAAGCTATTCGATTTATTCCAGCTTTTGCAGGAAACATTCAGCTTAAAGTAAAGTTCAGTAGCGACGCCTTACAATGCACATCTATATCTGTAAATGATATCATTGCTTTCAATTCAACTCTTAAAGTTGCATTTGCTTCAGATTCAAATCCACCGACAAATAAATTTGTTCCATGGAATGAACCATTCACTATGATAACGAAGTCAGTAGAAGCTAGTGGAACAGTTACTATTACAACTGTAACCCAGCAACTATTTCGAACAAAGATGGATTTTAATGAATGTTTCATTCATCCAAAGTCATTCTCTTTAGACCCTAACATTTATACAGAACTTGTAGAACATTATACAAACGAGGCTTTATGTTTTCCTGTTAAAGTTATGGATTGGATTCCTATGGACGGTTCATTCTCAAAGAATACAGATAGTTCAAGTGCAACATTTACAGCAGCTTATACGCCTATTAATGTTAAAAGTATTTGGGCACTATTTAGAAAGAAAGACAACTATTATGTTAATTTTGAGAACCCTAAGTTTAAATATCTTCAGCTTTCCATGGGAGCTTATGGAAATATGCCTGCAGAACCTGAAAAATCATATGGACCTGTATTTTATGAAATGGTTGCGAACGCTTGCAATACAAACAATGATATGATAGGATTTAATGAAGATGTTATGAGGTCATTGGTGGATGATGGTAGTGTGGAACATAAATGGGATAGCTATGACAACACACATTTCTTATGTGGTTTTCCAACAGAAGTGGACTTTTGCTTCCAGCAAGGTCAAACATCTACTGCTCCAATAACATACAAATTGTCTGTTAAAGGACCTATTGAACTAGCAACTGAAAATGTACCAAAGCCACTTATTGGATTTATGAGGGATTGTTGCTTTGCCATTCAGGTGCGTGCTAATGGAATCCCCATAATAAGATTAGATGACTATAACTTAGCTACGGACGACAGTGAGGAATAAAGGATGAACGTTTATTTTTAAAGCTTATAAATGAGTTCTTCATCAAGCTCTCGTGAACCTTCACCATCTGTGAAACAAACTTTACCAAACGATTATGGAGCACCTATTGAATATTTCTTACGAGCTGCACAATGGCAAAGAGCAGTCTCACCAAGGTTAGGTGTTCCACCAGCTCCTGTCAAAAATAGCATTTGGTCAAGTCCTTATATAAGATATGGTCTCCACTAGGTTTGCTAGCTACAGCAGGAGCAGTTATGATGTTGAAAAGAAATAAAGCAAATGTTGTAAATAATACTGAAGTAGCTGAAGTTAAACAAACTCCAACACCTTCGCCAAAACCAACGCCTTCACAAGCAAAACCTTCAATGACTCCTGAACCTATGGAAGTACAAACTCCTGTTCAAAAGTCAACTCCTAAACCGACTCCAACATTTAAACCAGAACCTACTCCTCAAATAAATCGTAAAACTCCTGCGTTTCCTTACTGAAAAAATAACGTTATTTTTATTTAATATTAAAATTTTTATTTGATTGAAATGACAAATAAAGTCACTGAAGCAATGAAACAAAAGTTTTTGGTAGAATACATTAAATCAGGAACTATTCCAGAAGGTTTTTACATTCATACTATGAAGGATGGTAGAGTTCAGTTTAGAAAGATAAAGCAACCATTAGATAGAGAAGGTATATTAAGGAAGATTAAACTTCATGAGGACAACATTGCTGAACTTAAGAAGAAGTTAGAAGAGTTGGAGAAAGGAAGAGAGTTATAAAGCAATGAATTCAACAGGGTGAAAAACCGGGTGAAAAAAGAGGTGAGATTTCACCACTTCACCTAAATTTATTTTTGTGCTATGTTTTCATACGTGTGAGGGTGGTGATATCATTAATTTTTAAGTTTATTTTTATATAAATGACAGAACAAAATAAAGCATATCTACTCAACAGGAATGAGACCCTTACTGACTATGTATTCGTTTAATGCTTGATGAAAACAATGGTACATATTATCGTATGGGTATACACAACGTCTGTTTCCATCGTCGTCGTATATGTAGAGCTCAAATCCAGTCCAACCTTC